GGTTTGTTGAGGAAAACTTTATAAATTTAAATTTGCCGCGTCGCGACGCGCGGTCAAATTTTGGCGCCGTTGCCGGGGAGTGGCGCAATTGAGTTGTGATTTTTTTTAGTATTAATTGAATTAGTTAGTTGGATTAGATTTTATTTCATTTTTCTTTTACTCTTTTAATCCCCCTTTTTATTTTATTTTCTTTTGCAGGTGGTATTTGTTAAATGGATGCGTATTGGAGCCCGGATTGTGCTTATGCCTACGATTCATATTATGAAATGAAAAAGAGGGAAATAAGAGACCAACATCGTGAGGCTAGGATGTCGGCTATGATTCAAGATGCCATTGAGAGTGTTCGTCAAGTTCTAAGGAGACCATGTAGTCTTTGTCATACTACACGTCACGTCACCGATGATTGTCCCTTTTTGTTCGAGAGGTATGGTGCACGTAGAGCTACCGAGAGAGATTGGTATCGACAAGACGATGGGGCGTATTCAAATTTCGATAGGGACCATTACGGTTGGGGCGAACGTGGAAATTCGTTCTATGAAAATCCACAATATTCTCGATCGTATGAGCCTACTTATGAGCATGACGACTCCCAATTCCAATATGGAGGCTCACAACATTTTTCAGAACCTTTGCTTGAACAAGAGGCTAGTCCATCATTGATGAAGTTATTTGAAGAGTGTCAAAATTCTTTGATGGCTAGTAACAAAGCGATTAGTGATGTATTGAGCGAATTGGATGCCCAAGCCAAGAGTCGGCTATTATCTCAAGCCGAAGCCAGCCACGATGATGTAGGAGACCTGAGGATGTGCAGCGAGTTGAAGCCCGAGGTGCTGGAGAATTATGTTCCTGAGTGGAATAATGATCCGAGTGACGAAGAGAATGAAAAAGAAGGCGAGACGGAGCTAACATTCGCTGCTATCGGCCCCCCCGATAAAAACCTGGTAGCATTTACTACTGCTATCGGGGCCCCCGATAACAGCCCGCCTGAAAGTGAAAATGGCGTAAAAGCTCCATCACTTGCCCCGAGCATGACAGTAAACCAGTCTCTTCTATCCGAGATCGAACAACCAGCAGTCGAGCATGTCGAGAATCAAGAGCCTTACATCCTTGAGGTGGTTCAGATTTTTTCTCCTATCCATGATCCCGGGCTAATCATTTACCATGATCATTTACCACCAAGAAAAAAAGATCCGGTCAAACACCCGACACCGAACGAGGGTACCTTTGACAAATATGGAGCTGCAAGGTTCATGCCTCCTTTGAGGCCACCTATGAAGCCGCCATGGACCGCTTGAAGAAAGCGGAGCAATAAGTCGAGCCAACGACACTAAAAAAAGGCGCTTGTTGGGAGGCAACCCAATGGTGTGCGACGATCGCGACTTCCTCTCTTTGATAAGGTGAACTCCTTCCTATTACCTCCTATTTCTGTTCTCTTTTTGTGCAAATGCTAAGTTTGGGGAGGTGTGTTAGTGTGAGAGGTTTATATGCTAGATTATTATATATTTCCTTGGTTTTCTTGAGTAGGAGTCTATTTGTATGTGGAATTTTGCGATGATGACATGAGAGTCTATTGGAATATTGTGCTAGTTATAATAACTTGGATTGATTATTTCTGGTTAAAATCTTGAGGTGTTATCATTTGAGGGACAAAGACATGATAGTTGAAATTTATGTGTTTTATTCGTAGTAAGTCGTCTTGAACTGTTTATATTCTTGAAATGTGCTGGTGATTATTCTGCTTGATGTCGATTGTGTGAGGTGACTTGACGTGGAAAGTTGGGAGTTGAATGTCTCGGAAAAAAAGAAAGAAATAAAAAAATGGTGTGAATAATGAAGGTGGAGGAGAAAAATAATGGGTGTTGGAGAAAAAAAAACAAAGATTGTGGGCTGCAACAGCTGCCAGTCTGTGAGCTTTAGTGCATCACTCTAGCACGAATAGCTAAACACCATAGACTGTGACGGAGCTGCCGTTCCCAAAAAAAAAGAGAAAAAAAGAAAAGAAAAAAACCGAGACGTTTGATTTCTGGCTAGAAACGAAGAGGAACTAAGCCGATTAGCAAAGAAAGGGATGTCGTTAGTTGCATGATTGGTATACTCGGTGAAGAGATTGATGAACTGTGGTGATTCACTGAATTGATATTTGATTGTTGGCGTTCTAAGGATCATTTCATTTTGAGTCCGGGATTATTAACTTGAGAAGTTGTAGCTATGCATGTATGTGAGATGTGTGAGGACCTGAGCGAAAATTCCACGTATTTTTATATCCATCTATGTGCTTATAGTTCTAAGTTGCTTGGGGACAAGCAACAGTTTAAGTTTGGGGAGATTTGATAGGTCGAAAAATGTGCATATTTTATATATTTAATAGTGTAATTTTGTACACTAAATTTATTCGCACGTTTATATTTTTCGAGTTATTTAGTTTTAGATGGATTTATTTGCTTTAATGTTTTATGTGTTATTTTCAGTATTTTGGAGCAGTTTGTGTACGCGAAACATTGGTCGAAAATTGCGATAAATTACTGGAGTTAGCCCAATGATACGTGAATTGGGCCCAATTTCATGGGCTGGTATTTTGCTGGAAAAGAAAAAAAGAAGCAAAATATAATGGGATTGGAGCAATTTGGAGTTGACCACGTTTTGGCTAAACGGAAAAACAAAAGAGCCGCAAGACTTGAATTGAGAGAGAGATTTATTTGTTGAGGAAAGCTTTTGATTGGTGAAAAGAAAAAGGTTGAGGAGGATTTATTTGCGAAGAGAATAATTATTAGGGGACATTATTTTTACGGAAAAAAAAAAGCCAAGAGCAGAGAAGGAATCAGACACAGAGCCGCCCCGCAGAGAAAACACA